AAAATTTATTTCAGTTTTTACTGATAATAAAAAACTTACTTATACCATAACAATATGCTGACAGAATTAATTGGTTGGTATTACTTCATTTTTAATGAATGTTCCTTATTGTCTGTTGCCTTAAATACACTTGCTTCACCTTTCTTAATAAAAGTTTTTACTTGTATTGCAGAAAAGATGAGTAAAAATTTTGAACAAGCTCCCGTTGGGGAAACTTTTAAATGGAGCATCGAAATGGAGAGCACATTTATTGAACTCTTGTAGAAAAAAGAGAACATTTGGAATGTAACATCCCGCCACCACAGGAAATATCATTTAAGAGCTCATAAAAAATTACTAATCGAAACTGCTTTTGGAATAAATTGTTCACTTTTATCAATTCTTGTTTTTCGTAATTTTTAAATAGTTTGTGTGTATTCATGTTGAACCTTTAACAAAATAGTGCCATTTAACAGCCTTCGTTTTTTTAAAAAATTCAGTTTCACATAAACTTTTAATTTTCTATAAATGGCAGGGTTCGTGATTTTTTTGATTTAAATCGGATTTTTTTGATTTAAATCAGATTTTTTTGATTTTTATTCAAATACGCTGTAAGAACTTTCATTTATGATTAAAAAAACTGTAAATGTTTAATCAAAATTAAATTAATGTTAAAACTATATTATAACAATATTTTAGAAGCTCTAACTTACTAAAATAATTTTTCATTATAATGCATAGCGACCATTTTGATACAAAGGCATGATTGAAATTAAAAGACAAGATAAAATAGATAATTTAAAGAATACTACTTTAACTAATAACACAAAGTTTCAATTAGCACAGCATAATTTTAATTTAAAATTGTGATCTCTTTTTTTTCTCATGNGGGGGTGACACGGACATAAAAACAATTTTTTTAAAGATATAAATATTAATCTTTAATAGATATTTTTTTATATTTTATCGTTTCTTACGAGACACAAAAATAAAATTTTAAGAAAAAAGTATTTTGTCAAATTATTCTACCGTTTTTCCTAAAGTTGAATTTGTGAAGGTACCGCTAAACGGTACTAAATTTGGCTTGGATAGACCCCTGTACTATGACTATTAAAACAAAGTTTCAATTAGTAAACCATAATTTTAATTTAAAATTGTGATTTCTTCTCTTTTTTTCTTGATTTTTAAAATGACAAAATAAATGTAACAGATTGTGTTTATAAATGTAGACATTCATCAAAAAACAAATAAATATTTAATCTATATATTTTTATATTAAAATAATTATATTAAAATAATTATTTTTAATTTTACAACAAAATAGATAAGTTAAGCTAAAAAAATTTTTTTAAGAACTCTATGTACTCATTTGAATTTTTTTTCACAAAATTTCATTATAGAAAATCAGATAATGTCAAATATACTGTAAACATTATAACCTTACTGCGTCAAATAGACTTTGAAGAGAAGAATGCCACTATATCAGGAGAAAAATATCTGAATTCATGAGCCTTTTTTTTTTTCTTTTTCTACTTTTGGCATATTAGGGTAATTTCTTTTTTATATAACCTCAAGCTTCAGAAATATACATTTTCCACCAATAAAATATAATGTAGATTTTAATTCCACGCTTTTTCATTCAAAAGGAGGAATTTTAATTAACATTATTTGCATTATTTTTTGAAAAAAATCATGCTTATTAATTACTTTCTACAGCTATGCAAGTCTATATTAAAACAGCATTAAATGTTTACTTTAATCTGTACTTTCAATCTCAAGAATCAAAACATTTTTAAAAATGTAATTTCAAATGTGTTCGGATTAAACAAACACCAAGAACGAAAGTAATTTCGTTAACTAATATTAATTAATTCAGCAATTTATTTCAAATAAATTTTAAAACAAAGAAAACAAAATAATAGAAGTATCAATAATTTAAAACACTGATTTTTAACTTTTAAAATCGATATATATATTTAAAAAGAAATAATTGATTTAAATCAATGATTTTTTGAAAAAAATAATTTGATTTAAATCAAGCTGATTTAAATCAACAAACCCTGATAAATAGCACAATTTTTTTCAAACTAGAATATTTCACTAAACATATATATAATAATACATATCGAACTCTTAAAAAACTATTTTAATAATTTTTCAAAAACTTAAAGTTAACATCAAAAAAATTAATTGCATTAATTTGGTGCAAAAAATTATCAAACTCCTAAATTTTGTTCTTACTGTTTATTTTTACTTTTATATTAGATTTTGTTTTCTCCGGTGTAAAATATACATAGTAAATGTAAGTTGCAGAAAGCTATATTATGTTATTAAATATATGAAAAACTTAAAGGTAATTTATTTCAATAATTTAAAATAAGTACTATATGACTGAAGGTAAAGAATAATCTAAAAATATATTTATTAACTAAAGATAAAAATCAATTGCGACTTATGTGTTTAATTTATGGTAATAAGTGAAATTAATACAGCATGCAACGAATATATTTATAACAAAATGGTGATTTTTTTTTCCGAATTTATTTTTCCAATATTAAAACTAATTATATATTTTTGACTTTTATGTCAAAGATTGCACAAATAAAAACAAACAGTTCTCTCAATAAATTTTCTTAACGGCCTAATCTCTGTCTTCGTAAGCGTCATGCTTTACTCCAAAGTGTCCTTCTCTCATCTTTTTTTTCTTTATCATACTGTAAATGATAAAACTTGAAATTGCTAAAGGCCTGGTTTCTTAGGACAGGACGCCGTCAGCTGGAAATCAGCGCTAACCTCTGATTGGTCCATTTTTGAGTTTGATAGTATACGTCATCGAACGCTCATCTTGAACAACAATTGCCGNTCGGACTGGAAAAAGTGCTTTGAAAATTGGTTCAAACGCATGCAAAAGTGTATTGATCATCATGAAGAATATTTTGAAAAACAATAAAACCAATTTCGATCCTACATATTTGTTTTTTCATTATTAGGTCAGAAATATAAATAGCAACCCTCGTATTCTTGGATAAAACGATCTTAAAATTGCATGCAAAAGCGTTACGAATTGCGTAAAAATCTCGTTGCCGCTCATCAACCCCGATGACTTGCAACATCATGAATAGCTCACCCCCGCAGTTGAAGGTGCGGGAACTGGAGAGGAGGCTGCATCTTTGAAAGAAGAGTTTCAGATGAAGAGCACACGCCGCCTGGGTGAAGAAAATATTTTTCTGGTGACTATTTTTGTTGTATTTAGGTGGAGACATTTATAATTTTGTCTATGAACACAAGAGATCAATGGTGGCTCAGGGGATAGAGCGTTTTCCTCCCAATGATGTGAACCGGGTTCGCATCCCAACCATGGCTGGTCGATACGAATTCCGCACCCAGTTCGCATCGATCACAGTGATGACGTAAAACATTCTCAGTCGTAGACGGATCATGGGTTAGAGTCCCCTTGCCGCCAGGCAAACCGTGAAAAAAATTCGTGGTTTTCATCTCCTTGTAACGCAAATGCGGGTTAGTTTCACCAAGAAGTCCTCCATGAAGGCTAATCTCTCACACTCCTTGGTCCAGGAGCTCCCATGTCTTCTAGAATGGGTTCAAAATTACAAGGCAACGAAGTTGAACATTAGTAGTCGCAAACCTCGTTGTAAATTAGTAGTCGCATTAGTAGTCGTTCTACTTACATTACCATAATCTAAAACCTTGGAAAATAGCCTTCTATATAAAATCCTGAAATCAAGGTTGTCTTAGGGTTTCCAAGCGAGAAAAAAAAATCCTTGAATAAAGCTAGTCTCAAGGTGAAAATAATCTAGGTCATTATAAGGTTTCTTTTCGCAAAGTCTTGTATGCTCAGCTAAAATACACCTTGTCATGAAATTTTAATGGACAATGCTATTTGATACTATCGCTTAGATGACGCTTAGATCAATATGGATCTAAGTGACTATTTTACGTAAGTGACAATACTCTTTAAAAAATACTCTAAAAATAATTTTTAACCCTTTTAGAATGAAAGGTATGAAACTGTAATATTTTTGCTCTATTGTATAAAGGTTTTGAGAGGAAACATTTTCTTGACAATGAAAAAAAATTCTGACACGCACGTCCTTTCAATTTAACTTTCAACGAAACAAACAACAAATGAATACGGAAGATTCCGCATGCTTGCTATAATGCTCAAAGACTGTTATAACAGACTGCGCTGTTTTATACAAATAAGGGATAACACTCAGAACATGGTTAACCTTACACTTTATTTATGCTGTGATATTAGTTTTGATAAATTTCTTTTAGGCTCATGACCAGTTAGAATTTAAAAATTACAAAAAAATTTTATGAATGGAAAAATTTAGTATAAATTTAAACACAAATGACAATAATTAAACTTCCTAGAATATTAAGCCTGTTCACACATCTCCTCGTTAGCATAACATAAGCAGAGGGATACATCGGAAGTTTTATAAATTTCTTCCTGTTTTAGAAAGCATGTTATTGTTTACATTCAGTCAACCATCAAAAAGGATATTCACATCTTAATTTTCAAATTTCTTTAAATTGTATCAAATAAATTTGCAATCTATATTTTCGATCCACTCTTGTTCTGTTAATCCCAGTAGGAATTCGTGTAATTATTTTCTCTGTGCTACACGTTGGTGGTGAATATGGTGGTTGATGGTGACTACTCTACACCAAGTACACCTACTCTACAACATTCTGGGAGTTTCTTCTGCGACAGAAATCAAAAACGATTTAACTCACGAGTTCTTGATTATATACCATATGCTTAATCTATCCACTATTACCTAAAATGCTTAATAGAATATTTCGGCTCAAAAAATTGCCTCGATCTTTTGCTTCTCGAATTAGCAAAAATTCATGGTTCACCATTTCCGGATTTCGTAAGAAGAATAACTAGCTACCTTACAAAATTACAAAAAATATACGATATTTAAAATAGTGTTTAAATTCAGAGGTGTGACAGCTGGCCATGTAAATTAATGAAGAATACTACTGAAATGAATGCAATCTAAATCATAATTTAATGAGGATTCATAACTACATAACAATCGGAGGATTAGAGAAATTATTTGGCTTCACAGTAGGGAGCTTTACCGCTGGTGTCCAAGAAATAATTGAGCTGATAGGGTGGTTTGACAGCGTGGAATCCTATCCTGTTCTTGTATGGGGTGTTCTTGCAGTGACCATCCTTAAATGCTTCGTAGGAGAAGCATGCATATGAAGTGTACTTGCAAGTATTGATGGAAGACTTGAAATAGTCTACAGATCTCCTGTGGCTGCATAAAGGGCCGGACTGAAGACCAGAGTAGCCGCGAGCTACAAATAAGCATTAATAATAAAACTCTGACAAACTCTAGTATTCACACCATATATCAAAAAAGAAAAGAAAAGAAAAAAACTCTACCGGAAGTCGTGAGATTCTCTTCTGACGTCATAGAATTGGCGCGACTATTTCTTTTTTGACGTTCCGATCTTGTTTGTATATACTTGGAATATTCAGTTGTTCTAAATTTAATTTTAATGTCGCGTTTTCACAAAGAAAAATGTTTTCTTCATATTTTAAAATATCAGATGACGGTAGGATAAAAAAGTACTTTTGTTCATATGCAATTACGAGATCATTGACCTGCGGATTTACGCAATTTAGTTTATGCGAGCACTACCTGAAACTGCTAATAGGAGTTGAAAGAACCTTTACAAGTACTGCCCCCTACCGTTGAAGACATGAAACACAGTCGGAAACAAGGTGAATACACCGTTTCAAGTCAAGAAAAGACAATTGCCTGTGTAAGATTTAAGTAATCATCCGCGACTGCATATAGTTCCGTTTACTTTTGTTATCAATTTCTACAACTATACTTTCGAAAACAGTATAAAAACTTTTAAAAGTTAAGCACGTCAACAAATATTTAATTCGTGTTATCGCTTACGATATACATAATAAATTTTTTTGAAAAAAGATTATTTTTTCGTTGTCATTCTGAAACAATGGACTTGGCGATATATTTCCATAAATGAGTAGCACATTTGTACTTGTAAAGGAAACAACTATATGACGTTACGAGAGCATTGGATTTGATTGGTTCACTAAAAATAGCGTGTCTTATGCCGACATACCCTTAACAAATAGAATGCGAAATAAAGAATTTTTACTTTTGTTACACTGAAGAAGGAAATCGTCTGCAAGAAACAATATTTAATATTCTTTCATTGGTTTCTTTAAATTAGAGTTGGCGATGTTGATATACGTTCGCTCTGGGAGCTTGGCATATATTTGGCTTGCACTTTAAACAGGTCCTCTCCATAAGGATACCAGGTATTTCTTAACTTACAACAGCTTATAAAGTAGACATTCGTAACTACATTTTTCTATTTTCTTAGAAACGCTTAGGTCACATTTATTACCAAATTGAATTAAACAATTTTTCTACCTAATTATGATTAAAGATCCTTTTGTGTCGTGGTGATAGATGATAAAAGTAACAAAAAGAAATATGACAAATGAAAATAAGTAGCTACAAATTTGTGATTAAGTTAAGTGATATCATTTATTTCTTTGACTTTTGACTTAATATTGGAAATAAATAAAAAATTTGTTTAGAAGGCAGTTTTTCTTTCTAAGTGACAAATAACATAACCAATAAACTTTAAAATAAAATAAACATGTTTTATATAACTTTTCCTTTTAAATATTGTATTGAATATTACCGCTGAAATATAATTTTCAAATGAAGAAATTCATTCTCCACTTCCTTCAGTTTTCATATTACAAATAATTTGTAAAGAATTGTTTCGGAATAAACACTTTCGAAATTTTTTTGTTTTGTTTATGGTTTAAAAAGATTCTTTATAGACATAAGATAATTTTTATACATTGAGGGGAAAATATTATTTCCTAAAGTTTCAAGCTATGTACAAAGTTGAGGAGTGCATTCACTAGAAATTATTGCAGTGGTTAATATAGGAAAATGTCAAGTGTCTTATGTCCTCGAACAATAAGCAAAATAAATGTATGCTTCTGCCAATAATTATATAACCGTCGTTGAACAGTCGATCCAATTCTGAGTTTACTATTACCAATGTTCACATTCGTAGCCTTGTAATTTTGAACCTAATCCAGGAGGCTAGGAAAGTCCTGTATCGCCAATTGCTGGGACTTGAGCCCGGTCCACCTTATTGAAAGGCGAACCCTCTGACCCTTGAGGCATCACAGCTTACGCGTTATCCTATAACAGTCGTTGAACAGCCGACTCAATTTTTGAGTTTATGACTACCAGTGTTCAACTCCGTAGACTTGTAATTGTGATTGCTATCCAGAAAACAAGGAAACTCCTGGATCAAATATTGGGAGAATTTTGTCTTCGTAGAGGACTTTCCGATAGAACTAAGCCGTATTTGCGTTAACGTGAAACCGTGAAAACCTCTGACAGTTAACTGGATGGCAAAGGGACTCAAATCCATGATCCGTCTAACAATGAGGATATTTTTACTTTAGCAATGTGGTCGGTTAGAGCCTAGTGCTGAATTCGGATCGACCTGCCATAGGTGGGATTTGAACCCGGTTCACCTCATTGGGAGGCGAACGCTCTATCCTCTGAGCCACCACGGCTCAAACACTACTTATCATACAAATTCCATACAGGATGAAATTGATTAACCTGTAAGTATTGAAATGAAATCTTACGACGTTTGGTAGGTTTGTATTTGCAGCCTGGTTGACGATTACCACCGTTGGGGGAGAAGACGGCATGCCCAACCATATCATCTGTGCCAGATCCTTCAAAGGAGAAATTAATATATAATAAATTAGTTTAGAACCACGGGATAGATAGGAAAAACAAGCATGGATACAAGCATTAAATACATGGATATCAAAAAACTATATAATGAAACTTCGTAAAAAATCATCGTAAAAAAATCAGCATAAAAGAGGTGATCGTGAAAAAAACTATCAATACAATTTAGACATAGTGTAAAACCATTTGATGACGGGATCCCCTTCAATCGATTCTTGTATGATTAAAGCGTTCATTGGGAATTTCAAGGTTTAGTATACACGGTTTACTTTATTCTTTTGACTTGGAGATGCAATCTCTAGCGTTTTCGAGATAATAGTTGCAAACGCGCGTTTATCGCTGAGGCAGACAGACTCTGGTCAGGGCAGAGTGGTTTTACTGTTTGCTTCAAATCCCTGAAATTAGCAAAATATGAATGCCTGTTTAAATATAATGCGCTGCAAAGTGGATAAGCGACATATAGTGCATATATTTTTTATTTACATACTTCATTTACTTAAGTATTTTTTGTTTGAATTTATGTTCCCATCTCGTGTAACAACAGTGTAAAAGGAATTAATCAGAAACTAGTCTGACAAGAATGTCTGAATTATTCTCTATTGGATACACGCTTAATAGGTCCTTCAGATCCCCAGACCTGAATTCAATAGAGAACGGTTCACGATACCTGGCCTACAAATCGCCGCTTTGTGCTCTTCTCCACGATGATGATCTGTAACAAAGTAACTCCGTGTTTATTTCTTGGTCTCAATTTCGGCGTGCCTGTAATTTTATTTAAAAAACAAAATTGGTGCTGCCCAAAAAAATACAAAGTATATGCATATTAGTGGTCATATAGTAATATACATAAACGAGAAAAAAAATCGTTGTCGATGTTATATCAAATAACTAGTGAGGACGGCGATATTCTGAACATTAATACCAGTTTTCTTTAGAAACCAAAATTAGTGCTGCATAAAAATATATTTTTCCCATGTAAACACCGACAGCCCTGAGATATCTAAGCGAATATTCTTTTCATCAGTTAATTTAGATAATATAATAGACTCCTTTTAGTTTTTGCATAGGCTATTCCGGCTCTTGCGCGATTAAAATAGACACTCAATTCGAAAAGATTTGAGGCTCAAGCAAAAAAGTGAAAATCTAACCTTTCGGGATAATTTAAATCTCGTTTGGAGGAAAACATCAGCGATTTAACTTGTACTTTCTGATTACTTGTGACGTAGGAAATGAAATATGAGCGTATTTTGCTTACCCTCATAAAGATTTTTTCCTGCATTCGTCTGTATAACATCAACAAAGATAGCATCACTCCTATCTAAACGAACTTCTTTGGGTGCATGATCAAAGTATGGACCTGCTGGATCTAAGCCTACAAAATAGATAAAAACAATTCATAAAATTTTATATAAGAGCACGAAGTTACCAAATTTTATAAAAGTGTAAGAGAAATTGTTTTAATAAAGGGTATGAACTTATCAAGCTTAATTTAATTATAAGGAATTAAAAAAATTTAAAATCTAAGAATTTACCAATTTTTGTTGTATGAAATTATCAAATTATAAAGTGCTGATAAAGAGCACAAATCTTATGAAGCTTTATTAAATTATATAAATGCAAAAATTTCAATGAAGAGTCAGGAAATTTTATAGTTTTTTAAGAACTACGAATAGATCTGAAAATTTAAATTTTCAGTTAGAAACCAGTGGCCGGTAGACTCTAATAAGTTTGCAGTGATTTTTTTCCTTAAGCCTAATGACTTAAGTCACTTTTTCCTCAGGTCAATACCGATACCTATAAGGTATTTTTTATTTCATAACCATTTTTTTCTTTTCTTTACTTGGATTAAATTTTATTTGCTTAAAAAACTCTATTGGAAATAATCTGCGGCAATAAAAAGTAAATTCAAACAGAGGAACATTATGAATATGTGACAAATTTCTGTTAAACATACTAAATTGACTTCTCCGAGCTAGAAAATTTGATGAGCAACAAGAAAAAAAAAATCAAAAAGAAGGATTGGAAAAAGTGACTGATTGTTCATTTAATTTAAGTCGCCGCTTTTTTCTGCTGACTCGCCACGTGATGAGTAGTTATTTTCAGGTCTATCTACGAACTATCTGCGAAGTTTGATTAGAAATTGTGGATTTTTTTGAAGAAATTCCTTACGATGTCAAAAGATTTCATTCGGAGTTGTGGGGGCTTAGGGGATAGATCATTCGCCTTCCAATGAGGTGAACCCTATTCAAATCTCAGCAATTTCTGGTCAATATGAATTAGGCACCCGGCTCCCACTGACCACAGTGCTGAAGAAAAACATGTTCAGTGAATGATGGATTATGTGTTAAAGTCCCCTTGCTGTCAGGTTCACCGAGGGAGGTTTTCGTAGTTTCCCTTTTCATGTAACGCAAATGCAGTTTAGTTCCACCAAAAAGTCCTCCATGAACTTAAAATTCTTCGAATACTTCATCAAGGAGTTCCCTTGTCTTCTTGATTTGATTCAAAATTACAAGGTCACAGAATTGAAGATTAGTAGTCACAAACCCAAAAATTGGGTCGTCTGTTCAACAACGATTGTAAAACATTTCATACTAACACCTGCTCTGTTTAAAATGGCTCTTAATCTCATAAAAACTAATTTTTTGTCGCAAGCAACTATTATTGGATAGAGTCTTTTTTTCAAATATATTTTTCTTAACGCTGACATCTAGATAATCAAGCCAGGACTAGAGTGTTTTAATTGAAACAGCGATAACAATTAGTTTAATGCGGGGTGTCCATCTCTTGTCCACAGAAAGCAAAGGAAATGGACGGAAAATTTCCCGACGGATTTTCTTTGTTGCCAAACTTTGAATTTCTATTTTATTAATCATTTAGGCACTCTAACCAGCAATGGTTTTATTTTATTTTATTTTATTTTGAAACCGTCGTTGAACAGACGACCCAATTTTTTGGGTTTACGATTACTAATATTCACCTCCGTTGCCTTTTAATTTTGAACCCAATCCAGAACACAAGGGAAATAATGAATCAAGTGTTAGGTTAAATTTGACTTTGGGGAGATCTATTTTTAATTAAACAAGCATGCATTTGCTTTGTATGGGGAGGAAAACCACAAAAACCATATCTAGCGTGAAGACAGGGTTAACTATAACCCATAATAGGTCTACCGCTGCCGATATTTTACGTCAGCACTGTGGTCGGTGAAAGCCGAATACAGACTTTGTATCGTCACGAAATCGCTGAATTCGAACCCAGTCACCTCATTGGAAGGCGAACGCTCTATCCCCTAAAAGATCAGGGCGCAACCAGTAACATTCTTTCCTCGTCCATGCCACTGTTAGGGTCATGTCACTGTCACTCTTCTCCAATCAGAGCCCACGCTAAGGATTTCAAATTATTAGCCAAATATCAAAAGTATTCGCCAATTTTCAAAGGTCTTCGCTAAATGCAAATCTTAACAAATTTTCATAATTAATATTTTTCTCACAGGAAACTATTTTAGGGTAGTTTAAGACTTATATTTTATTTGGATCCAATTCTAATTAGTTATGCAGCGTATTTACACTGTAATCGAATAAAAAATACTGATTTGTTTAGAAAAATTTATTTTGACGTAATTTTAATTTCTTTCAAGTGGAAAAAATCATTCTCCTGTACTTTTACCCCAACAGAATTTCATTCGCCAAATTTACGATTTTATCGCATTTGGCGAGGGGGCGAATGCTCAGCACGGGCTCTGATAATTGTGAGGTTTTTCAATTATTTATTAATTTTTTTTCTGGAGTACTTTCTTAAACTTAATCAATCTGATTGTGAAACAAAGCATCTTATCTGATGCAATTTAAATTTCCATACCTGTGATTCTGCCCAGATTATTAATTCTCTCTCCAATGTAACTAATCAGCTGACCACCAAGACTGAGACCAATAAGATGGATGTTTTCTGGTTCCAATCCAGTTTGATTCTATACAAATAGAAGGGATGAACTTAACATTTTGTTGGCTGGTTTTTTTATACAAAAACTATATCGTGTCACCTGCTTTTTTTGTAACTGAATATAGAAGTAAAGTGAAATATTCTAAGCGATGCGGGAAGTTTTAGAAAAATTCTATATCGCCCTGGATTTTATAAGTTGAAATAGAAAATGCAAGTGCAATGCCGAGTTAACTCGTTATCAGGCAACAACGTTTAGGCACGAAAAGACGAATTTACTCGCTAGCGGCTGTTAATAATGTGTTAAGTTTAAGAATGTGTTAAATTTAAGAATGTGTTATTTAACATTTTAATGAATTTTAGAAAATTCTATATATTAGAGGGATTTTGCATTCTTTAAATAAGCATGGGTTTCACGACCCTTTTGTGCATAAGTGATTTTTCTTTCTTTTTCGAATCAGACTCAGTTTACAATACCGTTTGATTTCTTTACGTTAAGATTATTTATCTAGGGTTGATTTACAATTTGAAATAATGCCATTCATCTAATTATATTTTTATAAATGCTCCGATTCAGACTGTTAGGATAAAGTTTTGTGCATCTGTGAAAAAGTTAAGATAGGAAAAAATATGATATGATGGAACAAAGTTAAAATATGAAGAATTTATGATCTATTATTTTAATAAAGCTATTTCTTTATTACGACTCAGAAGAAAAGTTCAAAAATATTCACTGATTTTAATGTTTATTTATTTAGATAAAAACAATTGTATCAAATTGGCGTTTTAAAAAAATAAGCAATCGTGAATTAACTTGGTTCTTACTTTCAAAAATTCACTAGAATCAAAATGAATATCTTTCAAAATGAATATCTATCATCATTAGAGTCCCGTTCTTTTTTGTTGTTATTGTTTCTAATCCTCAAGAGGTCCATCCTAATTAGACCAAATCCATAAGTCCAAAAAATGTCCAGAAAGTCTCAAAACAGATGAGGTTATGAGGAAACCTCGTCGATCTTAAGATCGATACAGTTTAGAATATGCTCGGGCGAAGCCTGGGCAGTCCTACATTTACTGCAAAGTCCAAAAGTCTTTTGCCTCTGAATAGACGAGAGACACCTCAAGTGACCACTTGCAAAGTGAGATAAACAAGTCTGATGGATTCTAGGTCCCTCAGAAAGCAAGGCACTTCCAGGTCATTTTCTGAAATACCAACTATGCGGAAGAGGAAACCTCCAGAGGTCCATAAACATTTTTTTGCACTCTGCAAAGGCCTCATTGAAAGTGGAAGGTAAATTTGTCTGTAAAGGTTCCAAAGAAGCATCTTTAGCCAGTGAGTCCGCCATCTCGTTACCTTTGATTCCAACGTGTGATGGAATCCATTGGAAGTGTACCCCAAAGTCCGCTGAGAGCCTGAAGAGCATTCCCAAAATTGAAGCCGCAGCCTTGTCTCCATTCATCCAGTTGATAAGGTGTTGGTTTGAAGATTTGTAATCCGTCAGTATCCATATATGCTTAAAGTCAGGCTCAGCAATATTCTCAACATGTCTTAGGCCATTTTCAATCGTAAAAGCTCAGATCTGAAAACCGAGCAAAATTCTGAATTTCTAAATTTGAGACTCTATGTATACGTGGGTGTTTCAATAAAAACCCCACTACTTGAATGACCTTCGTTGCTCTTGCTGCCATCTGTGTATAGTTTTAAAGCAACTGTTGGTATTTGGCTAATAGTTTCAAGAGCCATTTGTCTCATAAATTTTGGGTTGTCTTTACTTTTTTGGACCGTTCAACAGCTCCGTGAGGAAATGGATACCAGAAAAATCAGTAACAGGGCTAAAACATGGCCACACGGAATGATGTTCAATTTGGCAGGGATATTGCAAGTCTACAAGGTGAATTGAAACAGCCAAAGAGAAGGGACTGTTCCTCTTCAGTCTATGGTTATTTTTCCAATTTTTGAGATAGGATGAGATTCTGTTCTGGTAACCAAAACTGATGAGCTTACTGAAGTATTTCTTGAGACTGAAGTTCCTTCTCATGTATAAAGGCTGGAGGTCAGATTCAAACAGAACAATTTTATCTGGACAGCTGCTGCTCAAACCTACAATAATTTTTGCCGCTCTAATTTGAACTCTTTTCAATCTATTCAGGTTTGTCTCTGAAGCACAGGAATAAATATTGTTCATTCCGTTCTTTTTTATCAAGATGAAATGTGAATTTATAGATAAAAAATAAAGCTTTATATTAATTTTGACACCTCAACTATGGTTTTTTACTTTCGTTAGAGTATGAAAAATATGCCATTCAATCTAATATTTAAAAATACCTGCTTTATAGGTATAGAAACAAGAAACAACGATTCAAACAAAGAAAAAGAATACCAAATATTTAAATTTATAATAACAGAACTTCCTTTGAAAGAAACGCGCAAAGTTGCAGAATTTTCATAAGAAAGAATAATTGAAGCAATAAAGAAAAAGAAAACAATGGAAATTAAAATACGGTTACCGAAGCTGACGTCTTCAGGGGGTACTAGCTCCGGAAGTTATAAAAACAAAACCTTTTCGATTGAGAGAGCCAGACAAATGTCAAAAATTGCTCTCTCGGTACACCGAAGGTTTTGCAAAAGTCAAGGAAGAAATATAAAAAAATCAAATCAGAAGAAAAATTTAAACAAAATCATGAGAATATAATACAAAAGTGAGAATACAAAAACACGCAGTAAACTAGTCAAGCACCAAATTGATGGAACTAACTCAATGTAACTCATGCAAAAGAAGCGTTTGAAATATAAGAAAACAGCGCCCCCTATTTAAATGCGCAGTAGAAGGAAAAATAGGATAGGAAAGGTAAAGATCGCGTAACAAATTAATATAATGTTTAACTGGGGCTGCTCAGTCAAGACTTTAATTTCGCTCTGTTAAACGAAAGAAATAATAAACTAATATTTCTCAATCATTTTCCCAATCAAAAATTTAACATTACAGTAATTAAAAGAAAAATCATTATTTCTCAAATTTTTCAAAAAAAAATTTTCTACCTCTTGAAAACACTTACCGTTATTGTAAATTTAGCTAAACAATGGAGAAAAAACTAAATTTTTGAAAATTTTACAGCACGAATTAGCATTAAAATTACAGAAAAAAAACTTTAAATTTAAAAGCCTTTCGTTTATCAAAAACACCAATTTTAATTTTTTTATCAACCATATGAATTTTAAAATCTAAATGTTAAACTTTTAAGCAATTCTCATTAGTTGTTTTCAAAACCAAATCTTTAGGATAAATACTAAAAATGAAATCATAATTGTCACAATTAAATAAAATTAAATCATCAATGTATCTAAAAGCTTTAAAATCATTAAACTCAAGAAACTTAGCTTCAAAAAAATTTAAAAAAAATATAAGCAAAAGCTCCAGAAAAGGAATTACCTTGTGGAATACCAATAATTTGTTTATAAAAATCCAGACCATAAAAAAGTACGTTCTTAAAAAGATTAAAGCTACAAATACCCAACCAATAAGATTTATCAATATTTTCATTAAATAAATATTTATCAAAAATGCCACTACAAATTTCAATAATCTGTTCATGTGGAATACTAGCGCACGTAAGAAAAAAATTTGACATTAAGGGGTCCGAGCTTTGAATCGCTCTCCTGATCAAACTATAGGGACGATATTTTCCAAAATGCGGCTACCCCTATAATTTGGGGCTCAGAAATCCAAATTCGTTGAAGACAAGGTATGTTTATTCAGAGAAAGTACGTTTTGTGCCTGAATTCGTAACTTGAAACATCATCTGCACTAGCAAATTAGCCTATTTGATGCCACCGCTAGGGCTATTAAGATTGAGTCTTCTAGCGTGAAGATACAATTATTAGATCAAAAGTTTTTAGCATTTGGTCCGATTCTTCTTAGCGCGCAGTACATGTGCAGGCAAGAGAAAAATCTCCAAAAAAAAAGAGAGAGAAAGAGCGAGTTGCCAAAATGCACTTGATTGAAAATGAGTAATATATAGAGAAAAGTGTTTACAACCAACTACTACTCGGAAAATTCAATAAGATCAAAAATAATTTAATTAAATTTAAATATATATGATTTTGTTTATTTCTCTAACTTTTCTAGGTAGAAGTGAATTGAATACGTTGAAATAAAGACAGTAAAAAATATGGATAATATTCAACTTATACTAAACCATTATGAATGTTCAACTTTATATCAAACCATTATGAAATGAAGAAGTTTAGCTGTATAAGCTCCGACCAATCTTGCGTTGGCAACAGATTGAGCTAGAGTACCGCTTGCTTCACGTGAATAGTCGACTAAGATTACATTGTAAGAGGAATACTTCAGGAGCTCTGTCATTATACCCTGTAGGAATGGAAAAAGAATAGTTGCAATCTCAAAGTGCAACGGGCTACGATTTTCCAATCCGGTGACTTTTAACGACTCGCTCTTCTGCTTGGCATTTTCTTAAATAACTTGATACGTGACTTCTCCGGTATTATAGTATTTTTTTAGTTTAGGTATAGTTTAGGTAACAGTTAGGTTTTTATAGTTTAGGTAACAAATTTTTAAAAAAATAAAAACTTGCATTATAATTGGATCCAACTGCTGCCTAGTGGAAAACCTCCAAAAGAGAGAGCAAGTTGTTAAAAGCTGCTGGATTGTAAGTTAGCAACCTTAAGTAATGCTGAATACTCTATGGAAATAAAAAAATTTCCCCTATCCAATTCAGGATACACGGCAAACTTTTTATTTGCCTCATGACTGGCTCCGGGTACTTGGTAAAATTCGGACTTATTATCAGGTCCGGAATTATAGTATTTACGCAAAATAATATAAGAATTGTATAAATTTCTGCGGAACAAATAAAAAATATAGTTGTAACCCTTTGGGCATTTAAAAAAAATTATATTCTAAATAAAAATATATATATTTATATTCTAAATAGTTATATTCTAGAACTCTCAGTTTTGACGATTCAGCAATCCTTGAGCTGTATTAAGTTAATTTTCTGAATCATTTCGCCACAAAATCACGTGATTTGCAATGAAATGCGAACTCTAATATCTATGAACGAAAATGTTTCACCTACTCGAAACTTAATCCTATTGAATTGTGGGAGATTGAGTGGAATAACGAAACTAGAATGAAGATTGGACTATCAAAAATAAAGTGTCGAAATTTTGGTCAAAGATGGTGGTCAAAGCGTTAGCCTTCTGCAAGGAAGATTTCGGATTCGTATCCCACCAAGGGCATAAGTGTAATTCATCTCTCTGTTCTATTTGTCTCCTTGTGTTGTTATGTCGGGGGGGGGATCCACTTTCATGGTGCCTCTGATAAAGTGATTTCTAGAAAACTTGGTACATTATTTTTTTACCGGGACTTGTGCACGCGAATGTTGTGTTTATGCACTGTAAGTCCATGTTCGGTGGCCATCTCCTTACATGTATGATTAGCGCTGTTGTTTCTGGAAGTACCCGACTTTCTACGGTTCAACGCGTCTTTTCAGTTGCAGTTCTTTCACTCTTAAAAATTTTAATTCGAAAATCAGGTTTACTAAAAATTTGGTGAAAATAGATTTTTATAGAAAACGAAATTTCCAGTAAAATTATGTGATTCAGTTAAAAGCGTTAATCTTACTTTGATTCTATAATTGGGTACTTGACACCGGGGGAGAAGAATACTGCTAAAATCACATGGTAGTGTCTAATCACAAGGCTCCGAATGGCATAGTTCTTTTGATTTGATGGAGCTTTTAGTCTTGATTTTTTTCCCGCTGAATCAATTTTATACCTGTAAGCAATGTCACGCGTGTGTGACATTTGGTGCCATTTTGGAGAATCTGATTGGCTGCTGAATCGTGGCATAAACGAACGTCACGATTTACCTAAGCATGACGTTGCTTGTAGGTATCCATTTGCAGAAACTTTAGAAACGTCAGGCTGAACTCGATTAGATGGCTTTCAGAAAACAACGAAATTGTGATGTCATTTTGGCTGTAATTACTTATTTTATAACATTTTAATTTACGAATAACATTTTTGTTTATTAATAACGTTTTAGGACAAACGATGTAAAAATGCCTTTTCTTATGTTTCAGGTATTGAATTTTACTCGATGAATCAAGTTCACTACCAATAAATTGTGCCACTTTTTACAAGGTTTACAGGACTGTACAGATACAGTCAATATTGGCCCTTTATTGCCTTAAAATAAACGAATTCATCACGAAAAAACACCTTCATTTTTCCTTTCTGTTGAAAGCTTAGAAAAAGTTTTAAAAATAGAAAAGAAATAAGAATAAGTTTATAGAATTCTTCATAAAAACATCATAATATGATTTTTAATTATTCGTAGATTAAACATATTTTTGACGTATATTATGCTTCATACTTTCTTTTAGATATTTCTTAATTGTTTCAAACGACGATATTATAAATTAGCTTTACTAACTATTGAAAAAAGTAGCTAATCAACATTGGCTTTACAGTCTCAGAAACACTGGTTTCACGATTAAGCTAAAAATGCATAAAATTTTCGACAAGATTGTATATAGAATAACCGTTTTAAGGTTACGCGATTTCCCCTCTCCGTTACCATGATATCGATTTTCATGTTATCCAGGCTAGTACATTATTATTATAATAATATACAGTTATTGTTTATTGGTACAACATACACTAGCAGGATTTTGTTTGCTCAGGGAAATCTTATTCGTATTTGTCAAAAGGATAGACAAAAATCACAAAGAAGGACAGCATGAAGATGCATACAGGGAAACAGCGTGATCATTCACCTCCAAACTTCGCAGATCATTGCTTGGTAAGGAAGGTCCCATATACAGTTATGAGTTTTAGATGTTCCGTAACTGCCATGTGAATAATGTATGTACAATCCACCGAAGAAAAAAACACACTACTTCGAATAACTTTTGATCTAATGATCAGATCTTCACGTTCTAGAACTCATTCTTAATGGTTCGAGGGGATGACCTTAAATATGCTAATTAATTGATGCAGACGATATTTTAAGTTACGGGATCAGACACAAACACGTACTTCCTCTGAATACACAATGTGTTGGATGTAGCCGTAATCTTGGAAACAGCGTCCTCGCAGTTTGATCAGGAGTACGATCCAAAAATTGGACCCCTTAATGTCAATTTCACTTTTTGTGTATTCCGCCATACCTGGTGAACGTTCTTAGCGAATTAAAACATTTTTTCATTCAATTATAAAATTTGTTTGTTTTGGTTAACATTTATCACGCAATTATAAAATTAATTTTGGTAAATAGGGGAGAGTTGGATAAAACGGCATAGTCGGACAAAACGGGATACGTCGCCTAGGGACCAGACTATTGCAGCTATCTAGCGGATGACGACAGAAACTTGTTATTTGACTGTGATTATATCATTTTTAGCGCGTACAGTCTCGAGATCACTAGTTGATAGAAAGTTGTAGGTCTCAGAACTTTTTTACTCCATTTTTTTTGCCACTTTCTACATTTACGTGCGTTGTTTTTCGCATTGTACTGCCTATATATATAGGATTACAATTCCGGTGAGTATTACATTTGATGAAGCATGTATTAACGAGTATTCTCATGTCTAGTCAATCTAATTTTTCTTTTACGTTTAGGCAGCAGCCATGTTTGTTTTGAAAAGTGTCTGAGTCTGACAAAACGGGATACTTATGAATTGGATAAAACGGGATAGAGTTTTTTTATATCCCGTTTTATCCACATATTTATTTGTTGGCCTAATATTTTTACTATATTATTATTACTATATTGAAAGAAAGGTAAAAAAGGCTCGTACAAATACATTGACCCCTGGATTGGCAGCAGTGAAAAAGTTGGACAGATAAGAGACAGTATTCAATGTTGAACAAGAAAAAACGCGTGAGCATGTATTGGCTCGAGAAGAGAGATTATTTGGTACAACTCTAACAGACATACGAATGCTAGCATTTGAGTTAGCTGAGAGAAACAATATTTAGCATAATTTTAACACAGGGAAAAAATGGCTGGGAAGTGTTGGTTGCAATTATTTATTGGTAGGCATGAAGAACTTAGCCTCCAAAAACCAGAACCCACGAGTATGGTCCGAGAAAAAGGGTTTAATCGCACTGCAGTTAAATAGTTTTTTGAACTTTTGAATTCTCTATTAAGTAAACATAGGATTACTCCAAATGATATTCCAAATGACGACAGTGAAAATGATGGAATAAGTGTTCATGGTTGAAAACTCATAAAATCTTTAAAAACTTATGTAGCATCATTATTTTTGTGTACTTAATTATAAAACAACAGTTTAAAAATGTTAGAAGCAGTAAAATCCCATAAATAAAATTTTTAGAAATTTTGCTTTACAGTTTTCTGTCAATTAATTATGTTTTTAGTTAATTTTACGCAAAAAATTAAGCATTGCAAGCCCTATCCCGTTTTGTCCGACCCAGGTACGCTAAAACGGGATATGTAAGAGTTTGGAAAATGATTTTTTTTCCTATTTCACAGTCATTAAAATTAGTTTAAAATATGTTTTTTCTGAGCTTCACTAAGTAATGTAGCTATAAAAAAATAAAGTGTCGTACTCTTTAACAGATTTTCCCTAGTAAATAAAAACAATAATGGTATCCCGTTTTGTCCAACTTTCCCCTACTTATTATTTTTATCATTTTATTAAATAAAAGTCAGAATTTTTTTGAATTGTTGGGTATACAAATTTTTAACTCATTTTGAAGTATGATGCAAAAATTATATACCTTACAATTTAAACATTTTCCACTCTTGTTTAATAAAACAATAAAAAATTTTAAATATTAACTGACATGTATTTTTTGCATGAATTATCTTTTGATAAACAAATTTTATAATTGTGTGAAAATTTTTTTAAAATTCAATAAAGGAGTTCTCGAGATATGGCAGAATACGCTAAAAGCAAAATCAACATTAATGGGCTCAAACTTTAGACCACTCACTCCCCTAAGTAAACTATGGGGACCATATTTCTTAGATTGCGGTTACCCCCTATATTTTGGGAATCAAAAATCAAAATCCGTTGAAAAAAGTTTATGTTTATTCAGAAAAAGTGCTTTCTATGCCTGTTTCCATAATTTAAAATATCGTGTGCACTAACTAATTAGCATATTTGAGGCAACCCCCTGAATCTTTAACATTAGAAAGACTGAAACTTAGTATATTCCTATATTGGCCAAAAGCAGTAAAAATTACTGCATTGTGAAAGAATAATTAATGCTTGTGAAAGAATGCTCCCTAACATTGAGAAAGAATAACTAATGTTGATATTTGTTTCATTAATTTTTAATATTTTTTTATATTATTTACGGTTATACACTATCTACCAATAAGTATTTGGACACGTGTTATTGAAATGAAAAACAAATCTTATTCATAATCAATAGTTGATAGAGCCTCCACAAGAGGCGATTGCGTGAACCCTCTGGGGAATACTTTCCGCAAGTCCTTGTTGACGGCTTGTGGTATTTTCTTCCACTTGGCTTGGAGAAGATATGTAAGTTCCTTCACCGATTTTGGACTGGTAGTACACCCCTTAATTCGGCGATACAACTCATCGTAGAGGTTCTCGATAGGGTCCTGGTCTGGGCTCTGAGCAGGTCAGTTCATTCGATTAACCCCATTGGCACCAAACCAAGTCTTAGTGACCCTCGCAATATGACAGCTGGCATTGTCGTCTTGGAAGTAACAGGGCTCCACCCCGTAAAACTGCCACAACGTAGGAAGCACATTGTTATCCAAAATAGTGCAGTAGGCATCTTGCATGGGACTAATGCCGATGTTGTTCCCTACACGATATATACCGGCGGAGGGCGTGACGTATCTCAGGACCTCAAATATAGTCAATTGCATAAGTATCCAAAGACTTATTGATAGATAGTGTATAACAAGTTATTAATGAATATTAACAAAAAAAATTTACTTCGATTGGAAGAAAAAAAAAATCAATGCATCATTCTTTGTACATTTTTTGCAAATGAAAAAGCAGTTAAAAAGCAGTCAAAATGACTTCCTTGGGCAATCTAGTGTTAAGAATGAGTCCAAGAATGTGAAGATCCAAACATTAAATCAAAAGTTGCTCTGGGTGGTTGGTTTTTTATTGGCGCACTGTACATGGTAGGTTGTTTTACTAATTAACATCACACAAGATCTGCACAATTGGTTATTGGTGACGGTCTGTGAAACATCCCTGAGGATAAACCGTAGACCGCATACATACGTCACATCCTGTTTTACACGGAGAACATTTTCACACACCATCCCTCCCCATATCGTAGTTTAGACCCGAACCAGAGCACGATCCATCTCCGATCCAGTACCTCCCGAGGTATTGATGTCATGTAAATAAAAAAATAGTAGCGTTGCTGCCAGTCACATCGTTACCAAGGCGACGGAGGTAAAAACTGCGACCTTGAGAATTTTATTTATACAATTTTAATTAAAAGAAGCATATTAAAGAGTAAACTCTAAGTCCATTACACTTCAAAGTGAACAAGAATATGGCATAAATTAATTTCAAGATGTATTAATCTAACTTTAGAATCGCGAAGTTTTCTGACTCATTTAGATTGTATCAAGTTAGCACAATATTATTTTGCATGGTACCCCGTTTTCAATAGTATATACATCTAACAGGTTGTATTCATTATATAGATCTAATTAAAAGTTAAAAAACTGCTAATTTTATAACATTGTTAAATTAGATAATAAAAATAATGAAATCTTTAAAGCTTCCTTACTGTAACTGATTTTGGATGACCTAAATATCCGTGAACGAGTACTTTTGTTGGTAAATTATCTTTGAAGGGAGACTTCGACAGTGATTCTGGTGTTGGTTTCAGATCAAAGGGCTTCTTTTGATTGGAGCGTGTATACAACAGAAACTTTGTGTGCAGTTCTTGTGGTGGTACAGTTACTGGTCTGTACAGAGGATGGTACCAAGGTGGACCGGTATAGAAACATCCCAAATCTCCGAAACATTTTGTCGTGAAATTCACTGCGAAAAAGAAATGACATTATTTAGCAATCGACATAAAACCTTTTTTTTTCATTATTGTTTTAATGAAATTGTTTTTCAAAAAATGTCTTTATGTTCTGAGTCAAACATTCCAATGTACAGTCCGCAAAAAAAAAATATATCACCCTGAATAACTTTCGTTCAAACGATCGGATTTTCACGAACTAAGTGTCAATCTTAATGGTTCCGGGGGGTGACCTCAAATATGCTAATTAATTAGTGCTAACTATTAATTAAGTTACGAAATCAGACACAAAAACGTACTTTCTCTGAATAAACATGTATTTTTTTTTACAAATTTGGAATCCAGACACTTGAATTAGGGGGAGGGGTAGACAAAGTTTTGAAAAAATTGGGTCTTAAATTGGGACACAATAAAGGTTTATATATTTGGCGATAGTCCAGAAAACCGCCAAAAAAAAGTCGCCAGCGCAAATTAATATTTTAAGGTAACCCATTGACTAATTCAAAAAAAGAAGACCAGAGTGCCTAGTGAAATGTAATAAATACATTGCCTAGTCAAATGTAATAAATATTAAAATATTTATTACATTTCACTAGGTTGCAAAGCAACCAATTTCTTACTGTAAAAAAAAATTTAAATAATGTTCTGTGATTACTCGGAGATGTTTAATAGGAATATCTCAAAGTTAATAGAAAATATCTCAAAGTTTCTAGGATATAGACAATTTTTAAAGCTAATTTCTGAACAAAAAGCAAAATTTTTTTATTTTAATCTCCTTTGAAAAGAAAATTTGAAACGATTTATAAATTATTTATAATTTTCTAAGTTTTTAGAATTTAAATACATGAACTTTTTATCTGATATTATTTAGATTATATTGTTTTTGTTATACTTATTCGAGGATTTCATACTAAAATCAAATTAACATAACTTATTATGGCTATATACAAAATTTTAGGGATAATCATTTTTACAGCTTTAATCGAGTGTTCTAGGCAAGAAAGTTTGAAGAAAAAAAAGTGCTTGAAAAATAAAATGTATATTGTATAGTAATTCTAATGCGCATTCACAAGGTTTTCTATAATTTACGATATTTCTTTTTTCTATAACTCAAGGAATTGCTGAATGTTTAGTGGTATTTTAAAAACATTGAAATATGTTATGTTTAAGAATAAGATATTGAAATAATATGTTGCATATTGTAAGATTCATTGTTTAAAAAATCGCTTCATTCTGCTAGATATTTAGGTTACAAGGCTTTCTTTGGATAAAGATGATTAGCAAATACCATCCTCATCTTTCGATACATTCTGAAACTTACATTCGCAAATTCACCATAAAATGTCGCAGAGCATATTCTTCAAATACGATTACAGCTACATTTACCAGCAAATACTGCTACTAAGATTATTTTTGTTTTCTTATATATGTTACCGGACAAAGTATGAAACGCCGGTATTGAATAGAATGCGTAGGCATTCTATACAATGCCGGATGTTTTCAGCAAAGTATGAAATGTGAGAGGTATTACATACTTTCCCTAGGCATTCTATAGAATGACAAATGTTATTTAGGCAAAATATGAAAAAAACATACTGATGAGGTCATTATGTTATATTAATGATGTGCATGTTACTGTGAATGACCGTAATCGGTGGTTGTTGACTTTCACCGGTGAATGTTGACAATCACATAGTCGCTTTGGTGAATGTCCGAAATATTTATTACATCCGATTTGATATTAATTTATTTGTGGATATAATTACATTTATTCGATATTTTAATACTTACTGACGATAGATTAGAAGAAACATAAGTGTTTGGAGTATCAGGCTAATATATATCGGGCAATGGCTCTGAACCTTATAAAAACATCGGTGTAGGATATACCGGACAGTGACACTTGACCTTAAAAAAACTTCAGTGTAGGGCAGGGATGCCGAACCAATGGCACGCGTGCCATTTATGGCACGCGACACACTATTCTGGGCACGCCACTGACCACAACGTTCACTATGAAGCATATTAACAAATTAAAATTCGCAAAAACAAACAAAAGATTAATATTTTATGCCAAAAAAACAATCAATTAATAACCATAAAAAACACGCTAACAATAAATAACCAGCAAAAAAAGATTTAACAGTACTGCTTAACTGACATCTTACAACCTAACATAAGTTATTTGTCATCTAATCTGCAACAACAGAAGTCACACTGATATTACTTTAAGCTGAATTACGCTTATAACTGAGACATTGAAAAATATTTGTTTGTTTTTTTCACGGTAAATAAAGAGTTTTGATTTGATAGTATTATTATTTTCCGAATAATCGCGAAGTCAAAATTATTTGACGGCACGTCTATGACCTCATTAAACTATTTTTTTGAAAAAATGGCACGTTGGTGCATAAAGGTTCGCCATCCCTGGTGTAGGGTATACCGGGCAGTGGCACTTGTCCTTAAAAAAACATCAGTGTCTGGTATACAGGCAAATGTATACTGGGCAGTGGCAATTAACTAGACCTTTGGTAAATGTCCGAAATATATACTAGGTCTAGTTAAGTGCCAAAACTCGGTAATACATTTGTCCGGTATATCCTGCACTGATGTTTTTTTAAGGTCAAGTGCCACTGCCTGGTATACATTTGTCCGGTATACCCTACAATGATGTTTTTTTTAAGGTCAAGTGCCATTGCCCGGTATGGATTTGTCCGGTTTACCCTACACTGATGTTTCTTTTAATCTATCGTCAGTGAGTGTTAAAATATTGAATAAATGTAATTATATCAGCGAATAAATTAATATCAAATCGGATGTAAAAAATATTTCAGACAATCACCAAAGCGACTGTGTGATTGTTGACATTCACCGATGAAAGTCGACATTCTCCAGATTTCGGTCATTCACAGTAACATGCATTTCTCAAAAATAAAAAGTCCCGTAGTGGACTGATCGTTAAGACACGGTTCCCAGCAGATCACCGAAGTCAAGCATCACTGGCTGCGGTCAGTGTGCGGGTGGGTGACCACTTGGATCAGTCTGCGTAGGGACCGAGGGTGTGCGGTATTGGTCCTCGTTAAACTGTGCTACCGTAAAGTGCTCGACTTCGCGCGCAGGTCGTCGGGCTACCGAAGCGGGGGTGCCATCCCCTCCGCAGAGGATCAAAATTGTGATGGCATGTCTTCGGATCATCCTCCGGGGTGTTTCCCAGACCGTCGCCAATAGCCCATTGTGCAGCTCTAGTGCGACGTAAATTAACAACAACAACAACAACATCAAAAATAAAAATGTCATTCTGAAAAAAGAAAACTGAGAGTTCCATTAAAAAACATTTATTCAAAATGTGCAAAGAAAAGTAAAAAGTTGTGCAAGACATAATTTATGCCTGTCTTATTAAGGGAAACAAAATTTTCATACAAAAGAAAAGAAAATAACCTAATTGTCATTTTTGAATGACATTTTGTCGAATGCATTTTATACTTTACCGGTTTCTCATTTGGCATTCTATAGAATGCCTAGGAAATGTGTGAAATATACACCGAAGAGACATTACATTATAGCCCCCCTGCTAATAACACGTAGGACGACCTTTAGCTCTCAAAACTGCTAGCACCCGCTGTGGCATTGATTCCTCAAGGTGCTGATAAAGTCTGAGGTATCTGGTACCAAGCGCTCACCAACTGGTCCTGCAATTCCCTCACATTGCGAGGGGGTAGCATGGCAGTATGAATTTGGTTTTCCAAGTAGGACCACAAATGCTCTATTGGATTAATGTCAGGTGAATTTGGGGGCCAAGATATGACTTGAAAGTCACTGGAATGTTCCTCGAATCAATCCATGACGATTCAACCCTTTTGACATGGTGCATTATCTTGTTGGTAAACACCATCATCCGCAGGAAAAACTGTTGCCATGAATGGGTGAACCTGGTCTGCAATTATATTCAAGTAGCTTACAGAAGTCAGGGATTGTTCTATGAGGATTATTTCCTTCTTAACAAAATAAGGCATTTTCCCCCTAATAACACTTTATACTACAATAATATCTTGGGAATCGTGCTAAAGTAAAAAATTAAACAAAATAGTTTAGTATATTATCCGGAAAAAAATCTACATCGAATCATAAAGAAAGAGTAAAAGATATAATGAAATAATAAGTAAATCACACGTGATCAGATAATTAAATTTCACAACTAAGATGTTAGGAAGACATTTAAGATGCTGAGATATTTTAAGACGCTTAAAAATTTTGGCTACGTATTCGACAGCTTTTTATGTTCAGTATCTTTATACTCTTTGTAGTGACTTCTAAAACATCAATACTATTTTAGATAATCTATGTTGAAGTCACAAGAAACAAAACAAAAAAAGACAATCAATAATTTAGACTCTTTTTTCGAAAAAAATAGTATGCTTAGTAAATAATCAGCTGTTCTGCATTTAATAATTTTAAACAGCGGAAAGTTTTTAATTTCTCAACAAGGTTTTATTAGTTAGCAAGCAATAATTCTTTTAAAAAAAACTTGACAATAATTTAAAAAGGAACTTTACTTTAAAGAAAACCTAAATTAAAGTACTAAAAATAATTTATTAGTATATTAATGATGAAATAATAAACGTAGTAGGGTAAAGAATAAGATTTTTAAAAATGGGGACAGGTGATTAAAAAATTACTCTTAAGATTAAGACGATATATAAGATGTTGACTACGTATTTTTATTAATATTTATAAAAAATATATTCAAGAAATTGATAAATATTTTATTCCAAATCTATTCATACGTATGTATATTATAGAAATTGTATCAGTTATTGAGAAAAAAAACTAAAAAATAAAAAATAATCACATTAAATAAGCAAAATCTGGTGTATAATCATATTCAATCACAAGCATGCTTTTATAAAACTCGACACTCGTTGATTAAAATGTTTTATTCAAATTTCTTTACTAAATTGCAAATAGAATTTTAGACGACTAAAAAAGAAATATCGTATTTTATAGTTTTAAAAAA